AACACTATTTTAAGTTTATTATTGTTAATTTTAGTTTAATTACTGGCACAATAAGATCTTTACAGTCATCCTCATTAGAACTTTATTTCATGTGGTAGAAATGAAACATTTGAGTTGCTTTCTTTTACATTAAAGTAGGCCTACTAGACATGTTTTTCCATGTTGCTTCTATCCACTCCTTTATACTGCAATGCAATGCAATGTACCCGAGACGCGTAGCGCGTGCGTGCGTGCGTGCGTGATGATGTGAGGTGTGACGCCACGGCGCATCAAAGGCACGAGGCTGACAGAGTCACAGAGCCCGAACCGAAGCTGCAACGGCAGGGACAGGTAGAGACGCACCGAGCCCCGCAGACGCGCCAGTGCACCGAATCCTGCGGAAAAAAGATGCTCCAGTTCGGCGGCGTTCCCGCGCTCGTCTCCCTGATTCTGGTGGCGTTGGCGGCGGCATCATCTGATCTGTTTGACGACCAACTGGGCGATATCAATTACTGCAAAAAGCAATGCCAGATGTCCATCAAAAACAAAAGCCCCGCCAAAGTAAGTGTCACGTACCAGATGCTTCTGCAGTATATACCGGCCTGTGGGAAAATGCATTTGATGGGATTAGGCGTTTGCTAGTAGTGGTTCATCAGAGTCGCAGCCATTTGCAGATGTAAATAAATAAAGTCGTTTTGCAAATGAAAATCGCTATAGAGAACGTAGCGAGATGAAATCCAACGTTCATTTGGACACAAAACTGTTCTGCGCAAAGACACTGCGCAAAGATGGGAGCATTATTTGGCTGCACCTCGAGCCAATTCTTCATCGATTCATGGATTTCTGTGTCCCAGTTCCTGGCACCGCATGGGAAACGTTACTTTGTATCCACCAAGAACAGGCCGAGGATGATGCTTTATGATGCATGAATTTAACGGTCAGTGTGTAGATCTGTCTGGCCGTATGTGTTATTCTCAAACAAACAGCAATGAACGGTCTACGTGCTAAATGCGCAAAACGGAGCATCT